GTGGCCAAACCTCCTGCAAAAGAAAGTAGATTTGACCTCTCCCTCAGTTTGAGTTCACTATCGTTGGATTGCTCGTGGAAAGAAATTCAAGATCCCTACGGTATTGACCACTTGCCAATCAAAATTTCTATTACCAATGGTTCATCTTCCACTCGCTCGGTTGACATCGCGTACAATCTCACGAAAAACATCGACTGATTGCACCGACGCGAACAGAGAGAAGTCCGCCACGTTTGAACGCTTCCGCTCACACGGTAAGGTCGGGGATTTCGAGCGGTACGCCGACCTCGGGAAAACTTTTAAGGGCTTGATTAAAGCCAAAACACGCGGTTACTGGCGTCGGTTCGTCGATGGTTTGTTGCGAGAGACTTCCATGAGAACACTTTGGAATGCTGGCAGGAGAATGCGAAACGCGTCATCACCCATCAACGAAGACAAGGAGTACCGTAAAATTGGGTAACATTGATAGTTTTTTAAAGTATATTCTAAATATTTTTTACAACAATGAATGTTTTTCAAATTTTATATTTTTAAAACATCCATGGATCCAAGAGGTGATTCGTTAGTAATATGTTGAACGGAAAAGAACGCATTTACACTATTTTTTAGTTTTGTGACCGAACTTCAGTATTTTGATTTGGGGTTACTTTGATAATGCTCGATGAATGTAGAAAAAAAATGGGTGAAACTCAAACAATTTAGTTCTTTAAATATGATACTTTGAATGAGTATATAATCAGAAAACATCATAAGCAATAAGAATACAACATTGAATTTGTGATGGCTGTATCGGAAATACATTTATTAAGTAAGAGATGAACCAGCCCAAGGCTGAAAATCTCTCTAATAAAGCAAAAAACAAAACAAAAAAAAACATTTAATAAGTGATGGTTTGAGTGCTTTTTCAAACAGGTGAAAAACACAAAAATTGCTTTTTAATATATTTGTAAAATATTTAACACAAACTATATAAAAACTATAAACGATATCAACGGAAATACCCTAAGCTACAATATGGAACCAATGTTTCTAATTTGTTAAAAGCGCAGCGAGTAAATTTAATCTTTACATTATACTATCAAAGATATCCGCATTATCAAAGATACCCCGTTTTACGGTACTCAGACAGTTGGATTTTCAGCTTCGCGCGGAAAGTTTGCCCGGATTCGGTGTCGGTTCAAACCAACGTTCGTGATCGTCCGTCGTGTAATAACATAATAGATCCCCCGTTTTCGATGGTGGAACTCTCACTTGCTCTCCACTCATGTAACAACTCAGCTCCAGGAATGGACAGAATCAAGTTCAACTTGCTCTAAAATCTCCCAGACGTCACGAAGAGACGCTTGTTGAACTTATTCAATCAATTTCTGGAGCACAACATTGTTTCGGATGATTGGAGGCAAGTAAGAGTTATCGCCATTCGAAAACCCGGTAAACCCGCGTCGGATTATAACTCGTACCGTCCCATCGCGATGCAGTCCTGTTTACGGAAATTGATGGAGAAAATAATTCTTTTTCGTCTAGATAAATGGGTTGAGTCGAATGGTTTACTTTCAGATACGCAATTTGGATTTCGGAGAGGCAAACGAACGAGCGACTGTCTTGCGTTGCTTTCAACTGAAATCCAACTGGCCTATGCGCAAAAACAGCAAATGGGTTCAGTTTTCATGGACATTGAGGGGGCTTTTGATTCGGTTTGTATCGATGTCCTTTCGGATAAACTCCACGATAGTGGGCTTTCACCAATTATGAACAACTATTTGAGCAACTTGTCTGAGAAATATATTAGCTTTTCTCATGGAAACTCGACAACTTCACGAATTAGTTTTATGGGTCTCCCCCAGGGCTCATGTTTAAGCCCCCTTCTTTATAATTTTTATGTAAAAGACATTGATGGTTGTCTTGATGAAAATTGCTCGCTAAGACAGCTTGCAGATGACGGCGTTGTGTCCGTTATAGGGCCAAGAGCACAAGACCTGCAAGGACCATTGCAGGATACCTTAGACAATTAGTCTACTTGGGCAATGAAGCTAGGTATCGAATTCTCTCTTTTTCTAGGAAGCACAGTTACAGCTTCAACTAAAGTGTAAAGTGTGTCTGGTTCGATTCCAAATGCACATGGGGAAAACATATTGCGTATCTGAAACAAAAATGCCAGCAAAGAATTAATCTTCTTCGTACAATTACCAGAACTTGGTGGGAGCCCACCCGGAAGATCTGATCAGGTTGTACCGAACAACCATCCTTTCGGTTCTAGAGTACGGTAGTTTTTGCTTCCAATCCGCATCAAAAACACACATCCGTAAGGTGAATCGCTGTGACATCTTTATTCTCGGAACCACTTCGAATCTTCAAGTGCACAAATATCAGCTTGTACGACACGTGCAAAAATCAAATTGCAATTTCAGGTGAAATGAAGCACTGATTTCCGAGATTTGTGTAATTGAAAATTCAAAGGGGAAGTGCATGTATACCCTACGTGGCGGCCATTTGTGGACTCTACAAGGAATCACCTTAAACTGTAATGGATCCAATACCGTTACCTTCGTATTGCGCTAGGCTGTATGCACTCGACTCATACGATGAGCCTCGTAGTACTCGCTGGTGTTCTTCCATTGACAGATCGTTTCGCTGAGCTGTCTTTCCGGTTTCTCATCCGTTGTGAAGTAATGAATCCTTTTAAAGGCAGCTCGACTGAAATCCTCTAACAAGATTCATGAGTTTGTACTATGAGTACATGACGTTGGAGGTTGGTTCTTCTTCATTAATCTCCAATCGTGATTGCTTACAAGCCTTCTATAGATCCTCTGTAAATTTTGATCTGACCATGATGCAAGAAACCCATGGAATACCAGATCACCATCGGTCGATGGTTGTTCCCTAAATTTTTACAATCAAGTAACACCATCGTGGTGGCATGGGTATTATTAATTAAATAATTAAATGGGTTAACCTACTTTACTTCAGAATGGGTGAAATTATTCTCATTAATTGGTAATTTCTAGTTACTCCTGGTTTTCTGCGCGGCATTAGCAGGTGAAATGGGACACCAATCTTCGAGATTGGTGTAATTGAAAATTCCAGGTGAAAGTGCATTTATAGCCTACGTGGCAGCCATTTGTGAACTCTACAAGGAATCACCTTAAGTGAGCGTGTAATTCATTATTCCACAAAATGAATGAATGTTAATGGTAAATAGAAACACTGAAGTCGTTTTTACACGGTGCATATCCCATGCACAAAAAATGACCTGCGTGTATCGTGAACGATAATTACACACTTGAAATTAATCATTTTGTCAAGTGTCTGCATTGATTTTCCATCAGATGTCACTGCTGTTGTTTACGGTGACATCAATCGGAAACGACACATAATCTGTTTTCCGTTAATTGTTCTGTCCTCTGTGAAAAAGTGCAAAACATGTCTGGTACCTCTATATATCCATATAGATTAACATCGGAAGTCCCTCCCTTTTTACACATTCTGTATGTATGTATGTAAGGTAGCCACCATCCCTTCAAAGATCTTGTCTTGTATGCAGCTCCACTTAATAGCAAGATCAATTTGAGCTACCGATCTGAATTCACAATATCGCTGTATGAAGGGCCAAAAACGGTGGGGTGGACCCGTAAGCAGAGGCACTTACGCGGAATCCACGGGAATTTAAGAATCTTCTTCCAACGATACGATCCAACAAATCGAATAACGCAATTCGCAATATACAATACAAGATGGACAGTGGGGAAAAATCGATATCTTCTGTTTGTTACTGTTACTGTTACTAATATTTTTACTTTTACTTGCAAGACTATGTCTTTTTAAAACATCCGCAAAACTCGCATTTTCTTGAAAAACGGCAAATCACTTACCAAAATCCCCAAATTACACATTGCACACTTAGCCATATTTCCATAACGAAATCATGAATTATTGTTATGATTTCATGGGATGGCAAAATTTTGGATTTCATGATTTTTTTATTCATGAAAATGGAATCGGATTATTTCCCGTGTATATTTTAACCTATACACATAAACTTTACATGCAACACTACAGAGACACAAGTAAACACGAAAGAAAGCAGAAATTTGCAATGCCGTAGCTTGCTAAAGGGCGAAGGAAAAAAAAAACACAAATTGAACGAGAACCAGCTGCAGCAGCAACCGATCTCCTACTTATCCAATAAATTATCACTACGGGGCACGCGTAGGATTAATTCTACCGCGGCACAAGAACAATTTCACATTTAATTTATCCAATGTATCACAGCACTGTGAAATAAACTATAACGTTCGCCATTACAAATACACAGATCATTTATGCCGCAAATTTAGGTCAAAATTGACGCTCGTATACGTCACTCTCAGAGGAGTGTACCCCATTAGGCATAAATACGTTAGGCATGCGGACGTTAGGCATACGGACGTTAGGCATAATGGACGTTAGGCATAAAGGCATTAGGCATAATGGACGTTAGGCATAATATACGTTAGGCATAATGGACGTTAGGCATAAAATTCCTTACTGCTGTGCAACTCTAGAAACCTGTTTCGAGCATGGTAAACAATGCTTAAATTAGGCTAAGCGTTGAATAAAAAATGATACAAGTTAAACAAACATAGTTTATTTAATAAGCACAGTTTTAAACTATATCTTGAAATCAATCACATCTAGAAATAAAAAAATCACACATTTGTTGTAATATATTCTTACACACATATTGCAATTGCCAAAGAAGAAAAGGTTTTCCTCAAAGAACAGCTCATGAAATAAAGAATGGTTAATTCTGTGATTTTTCATTCAATAGCAAAAAAACAAAAACATACCTGCTGCTTCCAGGATTCTTTTCGATACAACGATTCTGTTTTTGTTATCATCAGAATGAAAACTAGCGGAACTGTCTGCTGATGAGAGGGAGCGATACTTCCATGAACAGTGACGAGTTGCTGAAATAAACAAGGAACTGTGGCAAACGTATCAACTTTGCCTGTCCAAGACGTCGCAAGTTTTCATGAGTTCCAAAAATTAAGGCTATTTCATTATTGTCACCGAAGTCAGCAATCATCCTTCTGGAATTCATCGGGTAGACAATAACGTCCATTATGCCTAACGTCATTTATGCCCAACGTCCATTATGCCTAACGTCTGTATGCCTAACGACCGTATGCCTAACGACCGTATGACTAAAGACCGTGTGTATTATTGAAATTCAAAAATAGATGACAAAACAAATTATGACTTAAAAATAATACTTGATAAGTGACCAAGCTACAGGCCATCAGTAAAATAATACTCACATCTGCCGTTAAAGACACGGTAGATGATGTTTCAACGTACATTAATGAGACAGGTTTACTTTGTCCCAACTCCATGGTTCCATTTTTTACTTCTTTTATTAATTTGTACCGTTCAACCAAGTTGTTGGAAAATTGTTCGTCTTGGCAATCTTTGTTCAGCTGCTTAATCTTCTGAATGTCATGCAACAGCAATTGTTCGAAGTCAAACTGTGGATTACCAGCTAGACAAAGTGTCTTCATATGGTTTAGCTGGTAGACGTTCGGTTTAAAAACCACCAGCCGGTTATGTCGTAGATTAAGGTATTTTAGTTCCGTAGTCCACCGAAGGGCATCAGCTTCCAATAGTTCTATATGATTGTGTTCTAGGTTTAGTTCTATCAGATTTGGTAATCCTGTCAGGGCCATATTGTCAAGCCGTACAAACCGGCAGTGTCTGCAGCTGAGCTTCCTTAGTGATGCGCTCAGAAGGAATGGACCATGGGCGCTATTTGATAGATGGCCGTTCCAGTCTAAGTGGAGGACTTCTAACTGGGAATGGTTTTGAAATGCATTTGCAACGATCAATTCAAGATTGTTGTGTGAGAGGCTCAGAAATGTTAAGGTTGGGTTATTTTTGAACAATAAATGGGAATGAATTGATCGAACTTGGTTGCCCTGCAGATGCAGGGTTTTTAGATTTGGTAGTTCTTTGAATGTAGCCTCGTATAATGTTGTGATTGAACAATTCTGTAAAGATATTAGTTCAACAGAAGAACTTTTAAGAAATATCGTATCCTGTTGAAATTCAAACGAACGGTTATCGTCAAATAAAACATTCGTCACATTTCTATCATCTACTAGGTAATCTGGTTCTATGTATACAATTTCTCTGCCCGAAAGGTCTACTGTTAATCCATCACTACTACGAAGATGAATGGGAGTTTTCTTATATACCGCTTTTCCAGTAGTAATCGGTAGATAGTTTTCAAACTCATGCAAAGGATTTTTATCATCCAAACAACTTCGGCGGAGTCTTCTTATTTCGTACAGCTCCTTTGCATAATCAGTTTGATTACACGGTTGAAGTGGATTCCTGTCCATGCATAGCTGCTCCAACCTGTTCATAGGAAGTCCTAGTAGTATTGTGGGGACCTTTTCGATTGAATTATCGTCCAGCAAGATAATTTTTATATCTGGATTCTGCTGAAATCCATCCTCATTTATCCGAGCAATCCTATTATTTCTCACGTTGATAGATTCCAGCATCGGTAAGTGAGATGTATCCAGCGTGCCATTCAAACTACATTCTGCAGCGTTGAGATCTATCAGTGATGTCGATGTAAGGTTCAATCGGTGCAAGGGTTTATTACCGTTGATTGTCAACCTCTTAATATATTTTGCCAGCATCAAAGCATCATCGTCGATCCTGTCTATTACGTTGTACGACAGATACAGCACGGAAAGTCTTGGCATGTTGGTCAGCGTTTGCTGAACGAGAAAGGTAGTGTGGCAGTAATTGCAAAATAATTGCATCAATCTTGGAGATTGAAGGTCCACCTTGTTCAAATCAAATTGCTCGTTGCTGCTTAGATAAAGTATATTTAGCGCAGGCATGTGCCGAATTGTGGCTTCCGGATTGAATGTAGAAAGTTGATTGCCAACCAGACTGACCTTTTTCAATAGCGTATTGTACTCGAATGCATCTGGATGTATGTACTGGAGGGTGTTATTATTTACAATAAGAGAAGTAAGTTCTGGTAGCTGCGACAAGGATATCTGGTAGATAGAATGTATCCCACAATTGTTGCATACGTAATGTGTCAGACAGTCGTGTATCAGCAGAACCTGGTCAACTGGGAATTCAAATCTCGTTTGGTTGCTCATATCCAACAGCCAGAGGTTCGGATATGCGGCATACATTGTCTCGTTGACTATAGGATGTTTCGTCTCTATGGTGGTGATGTGAGGAAAGATGATGACAGAAGTGGTGACTCCGATGATCCTCAAACAGATAATGATGGACAGAATGAAGCGTAACATTGTCTGTAACGAAATGCAAACAAACTGTCAATTTTGGATTTGTGAATAATATCCGATATTTACATAAATAAATGGTAATAATCTCAGACGTACATGGAAATTACACGTGTGCAATATGGATTAAAGAATCTTCAGAGAAAATTTCAAGTTATTCGGTATCATGGAGCAGTTCCAGCAGTTCCCCCAGGGGTGGCGGGGGGGGGGGAGGGACACCCCTCACCATCCCTCTCCAAAGGAGGAGTTTGGTAAAGAGAGATGAAAAAACCGATTTGTACCTTCCTTAAAAGTTGTCCTAGCTCGCTATTCTATATCTATATGCAATTTTTACACTGCCGTACTCTAACGAAACTATCAACTCTATACTTCAATTTACTCCATCTATCGTATAAAAATTACCACTACAGTCTGTTATTTGAAATTAGCATCTTCAACTATGAAATGTTTGTTTACGTTCCACGATTTACCTCCAAAAAGGGTTACGTCTCGTGTAAAAGTAAATATTTCTAAGTGTGTATATATGATCGATCTTGACATGATTGACCACAAGGAATCGTTGCCGAATAAAGTCAGGTTTAGTCACAGTACCGGTATGTTGGTCACTCATCAAAGGGCGAGCCTGTGTTACGTCTCTAAACGTTCAGAGAGTGGTTATACTATAAAAAAAACACGAGTCTGGATGATGGTCTGTGGAAAATATGAACTTTCATGTTTTTAGTGGTAATCTAGTTGATACATTGCATAAACTGCCTGACCAATGCACGTCAAATAGAAAAAAATAAAATATAAAGATTTGACTCGACCATCTCTGCTTGGCTGGAAACTTGGCACAATTGTTTGTTATGGGCAATGATTCACATTGTTGCAAAAGTTCGGTCCTTTTGGATCTTTTTTTTTTCCAAAACAGCATCTTTGACAATTTTAAATAAATTGTCACACGAAAGCGTCACCTCTGATCTAAATAACGAATGAGACAAAGTTTTTGAGAAAAGTAAAGTTTTTCTGAGAAAAATAGACAAGGTATTTTTTTGTTATTTAAGTAAAAGTTCAAAAAAAGTGATAAAATGCAAATCTTTTGAAAAGTGTATCTTCAATTTAAATAGATTTTTTTTTTAATAGAAGCCCGTGAAAAAAGAAAGCCTTTGGAATATTTAAAACCATGGAAACTTGAAAATCAGTCCGCATCGTGCTCTCTTGCCGTGCGGATCTATTTGCTTTTTGCTGAAGGAAGTGTTACTACTACCTAAAGCTACAACAAATTTAAACAGCACTTTTCAGTGATCAACCTGTAAAAATTGTCTACCTTATTCAACTCTCATTCCTCTTCGATCTTTGTTTGGACCCTACCCGAGGTAATCCTTCTTGGATATCGATTTGGAAAATTCCTCTTCGATCCTTCAGATTCTTATAGTAATCTGCTTGGAAGTCGATTTGGATAAAAATTTACTGCCGCCATGGCGCCTAAACGCAAAAGAAAGGGGCAAACTCTTGACCCCCCTTCTGAAGAAATTAATTTGAGTAATCAATTTGATTTGCTCACGGATGATGAGACTGATCCATCATCCAAGAAAAATTCTAGTAAACTTTCCCGGCTTAATGCCAAGAAGGAAAAGATTCCCCTATTGTGATAACCACGTCCGATTTCCATGCTCTTCGCATGAAACTTTTGAACTTCGTGAAAGTTAAGTTTTCTCTACAAATTGGACGTCGGGGTGAATGCCGTGTATTGGCTGAAACCTTGGACGGATTTAAATGTCTTCTCAAGTATCTTACTGAGAAGAAGCATAAATTTTTTACTTACGACACCAAAACTGAACGTGTGTTCAAGGTTGTCATGAAAGGACTGCCCAGTGGTGAATCCCTGGATCAGATCAAAGATGAACTGGCAAAATTACTTGGAGTTGTGCCACTCCAAGTAATCAAAATGAAAATGAAATCCCGTCCTGGCGATTCGCGCAACGGGATTTCTAATGATTTTTATTTAGTTCACTTCAAGTCTAGTGAACTAAACAACCTTAAGGCCTTAGAAAAAGCTAGCCTAATGCTCCATGTCCGAGTGAAGTGGGAACACTTCAGGAAGACTGGAGGAAATTTCCAAAACCTCACTCAGTGCCGTAAGTGCCAGGGATGGGGTCACGGAACTAAAAATTGCTACATGCCAGCTAAATGCATGAATTGTGGTGATTCCTCTCACGCAAAGGACGACTGTCCTGTGAAGGAAGATCCTAAGAAATTTAAATGTTCAAATTGTGGTGAAAACCACAAATCCAATTTTTGGGAATGTAAGACTCGCAAAGCGATCCTACAATCTCGTTCTAACCGTCAGGTAGGAAACGCTCCACGTTTCCGACCAGGTACAAATTCCTCTGCTGTTAACAACGGTCAGCGAGGAACAAATTCTACATTCGTTCCCGTAGGTACAAATATCACCCCTGCTTCAAATGTTTCATCTGTACCTACTCTCCTCGCTGCTTACAATGTTCAGCGAGTTAATGGAGCTACCTATGCTGCTATTGCAGCGGGTAGAAATCAAAATACTTACCAACGTTCTAACGGAAATTTTGACAATTTTGACTTAGGAAGCATTACTGCTCCTAAAATGGAATTTTTACAGAATTCATTAATTGACATGATTTCTGATATGCTTAAATCTAACTCCATGTTTGATGCTATTCAAACTGGAGTAAAATTTGCAAATAATATTGTCATGACTTTAAAATTCAGTAATGGATTTTAAAGCATTAAATATTGTAAATTGGAATGCTCGATCTCTTAAAGATAATGAAAACGAGCTATTTAAATTTTTGAGAGTTCATAACGTGCATATTGCCGTTATAACTGAAACGTTCCTTAAACCTGGCCATAAGGTTAAGAAGGACGCAAATTACTTGATTTATAGAAATGATCGTCTTGATGGACCCTGTGGTGGCGTTGCCATCATTATTCATAGACGAATCAAACATAAAATTCTTTCTTCATTTGAAACCAAAGTTTTTGAAACTTTGGGAGTTTCTGTTGAAACAAAATTTGGACAACTTACGTTTATAGCTGCCTATTTGCCATTCCAATGCGTAGGCCAGAAAAAGAATTTTCTCAAGGGTGACCTCCAGAAACTTACCCGTCATAGGTCTAAGTTCTTCATTATTGGTGATTTTAATGCAAAACACCGCTCATGGAATAATGCTCAAAGCAATTCCAATGGTAATATTCTGTTTGATGATTGTTCTGCAGGTTATTACACTATTCAATATCCAAACAGCCCAACATGCTTTTCTTCTGCAAGAAATCCCTCCACTATTGATTTGGTCTTAACTGATTCATGTCAACTTTGTAGCCAACTGGTTACCCATGCTGACTTCGGTTCTGATCACCTTACAGTAAGTTTTGAAATATCCCAAGAAATAATTTGTAATCCCAACAGCTCTACTTTCAATTACCATAGAGCTGATTGGGAGCAGTATCGAACATTTATGGAATATAACTTCGATCCAAACATTCCTTTGCAAACCAAAGATGAAAATAATTATGCTCTTGAATCTTTGACTACTTCTATAGTTGAAGCAAGAGCTGCCTCAGTACTAAAATGCGAGGTTAAATTCGATTCAATTATAATAGACGACGATCTTCAGCTCTTGATCCGTCTTAAAAATGTCCGTAGGAGACAATATCAAAGAACACGCGATCCTGCCATGAAGGTTATCTGGCGGGATTTGCAAAAACAAATTAAAAAGCGATTCTCTGCCCTGAGGAACAAAACTTTTGAAAATAATATTTCCGAATTAGACCCGAGTTCCAAACCCTTTTGGAAACTCACAAAAAATTTGAAAAAACCTCAAAAGCCTATTCCAGCGCTTAAAGAAGGTGGTAAAATTTTGATCACAAATTTGGGAAAAGCTCAGAAACTTGCTAAGCAATTCGAGAGTTCCCATAATTTCAGTTTGGGTCTTACTAGTCCTATTGAGAATCAGGTTGCTCGGGATTTTCTGAATATTTTCTCTCGGGAAAATATTTTTGATGATTCCTGGGGGACTGATTTGGACGAAGTAAGGTCTATAACTAAAAATTTTCAAAATATGAAAGCTCCAGGTGATGATGGAATTTTCTATATCCTCATCAAAAAACTCCCAGAGAGTACCTTGTCTTTCTTGGTAAAATTATTTAACAGATGTTTCCATTTGGCATACTTTCCTGATAAATGGAAAATTGCAAAAGTTGTTCCAATTTTGAAGCCGGATAAAAATCCAGCTGAAGCTTCTAGCTACCGCCCAATAAGTTTGCTTTCTTCAATAAGTAAACTTTTTGAAAAGATAATTTTGAATAGAATGATGCTTCACATCAATACGAACTCAATTTTTGCATTTTTACTTAGATAAGATTTAGTTTTAGTTTTTAGTTTTAAGATATCAATTGTTATACTGACATGCAGGTTAAAAAACCTGTTTAAAATACTTAATTGCCAAGACATGAACAATGTAAAAACACTTAGATATATATCATAACAATTAAGGCTGGTACGTTACTGCAGTAACTGGAGCACCTAGGTTAAAAATGAAATGTAATTTATTATGAATTTGGAACAAATAAAGAGTTAAAAAAAAAAAAAAAAATGGAAACTTGAAAATTGACAAAATTTGTAGAACATCAACTTTAGGTAATATTTTTAAACTACTTGTTAGCAAGCTTTTAAATGTAATCGGTGCACAGAAAACGATTTGGAATGTCTCAAAAATTGTTTCCTGTGTATACACTAAGATTATTTTACGGAAATCTGTTAAATTTAACCGAAATCTCAACAGCTGAACGTTAGGTCAACAGTTGGGTGATTTTTCACAGTTTTCCTGTAATTTTTCAATGAATATCTGTGAAAAATCACAGAAAATCTGTGAAAAATCCCCGAACTTTGTAACGAACGTTCAGCTGTTGAGATTTCAGTAAAATTTCACAGATTTCGGTAAAATAATCTTAGTGTGTAGAAATTTCACAAAACAATGTACTATCAAAAACTT